CTGCCCCCCGGGGGGACCCCCCCCCCCCCCGTGTCCCTTTTCAGCCGTGCTCACCCTCGGTGCCGGCCTCCAGCACGGTGATCTGCACCTCCTCGCTTTCACCATCTCCCCAGTCAATGCCATCATCCTGCTGCAAAAGGAAGGACACCCTGTGAGATGGAGGTGCGCGGGACGCCCCCCAGGTCCCCAGCCCGGCCCTGGAGCAGGGCCAGACCCCAGGACCACACAGCCGGGGGGGGTCACGCACCTGGGGACCGGGCTCTAGCGTGATCCCCCAGTCGATCTCCTCGCCCCGGGCTTCGCCGTCAGCAGCGGCACCGTCACCCACCCCGGTCGGCTCCAGCGTGAAGTCTCCCCAGTCGATCTGCGGGGAGAAGGACAACAGACCCCCTGAAACCCCGGGGCGGGGGGGAGACGACAAACAGCCTAACGCTAACCGACGCACGGCAGAGCCGGCTGGGGCTCTCCTCAGCACCACAGCTCGGCCCCGGCTGGCCAGGACGTACCGTGTCCTCCTTCAGCTGCTCCGGCACCTCCTCCACCTCCCGCCGCTCCACCCGCAGGGGCTGGAGCCCCGTCCTCCACTCGTAGACGGTCGTGTTGCCTCTCTTCCCCACGTGCCGCAGCAGGGGCACCACCACCTCTGCGGAGCTGGCAGCCACCGCGGGGACATCAGTGCCAGGAGCAGGGTGGGGACAACCCCCCCACACACACACACCCCCCCAACCCCACCAGGGTCCCTCTGGGAGAGCCCCAGCCTGGGTGCAGCCGCCAGCCCAACCCGCTGTCCCCACACGTGGGGAGAGGAGATGCAGGGGTCTATCCCTGCGCCCCCACACCCACCTCTCGCACACGAACTCCACGCAGGCCTGGTACAGCTCGATGGCCTCGGAGAGCGCGCTGGCTCCCGCCCCGATCTCGGACAGCAGCGAGGGCAGGTCCTTCACCAAGGCCAGGAGCTCCTGGCGCACGTTGTCACCCTGGGGACGGAGCAGGGACGTGTCAGGGCAGGGAGGCCGGCAGCCGAAGCACCCCTGGGGCGGCTTCGCCCTCTGCTTGCAGAGCTAGACGTGGGCAGGAAGGGGACGGAGGGCTGCGGGGTCACCCTACACCCA